TCAACTGGCCACATGGTCCTGGTGAGCAGCCATTGCAGTTGGCGCGTTGTCGCAGCCTTACCCTAATTGTCGCTCTCCCAGAATCTGTATGGTCATGAAACTTGCAGGGCAAAGTATCTATCATTACAAGTACGTTAGGCCGATTCTTGAAATAGAAAATAAAGTAATGCAAATAAGACATAAGACACAATTTAACCCGAAGTCTAACAAAAAACCCGTCGACGGCATAGCCTGTGCCTGGCAGATGTTGTTGTGCTGACGTGTTGCGACCCTATGCGCCAATGTGACGTGACAGCAGGCTTCGCCACAACCGCTCCGCACCACTCGAATCCGATCGTTCTCCGCAGTCGTACATGGAAGACCACCTGAAAAAGAAGGACAAGCTGGAGGAGGAGTGGCGCGCGCTGTGCGCGTACGAGGCCGAGCCTTCAGCCCGCACCGTGGCCGTCCAGCCGGCCAACTGCAAGAAGAACCGCTTCCCGGCCGTGCTGCCGTACGACCACTCGCGTGTCACGCTCAACGCCGTCACCAACGCTACCGGCGGCGACTTCATCAATGCCAGTACCATCACCGACCACGACCCCAGAAATCCGGCCTACATCGCCACGCAGGTGAGGTGACGTCACCAGTCGCTGCGGTGGCGTTTCGATGCGCTCTTCCGACTCGCACCGGCCAAGAGCGCGTGCTATGGCTGAAGCCGCCTGCATTTCTGCTGAATGCAGAGGGCCGGAGCTTTTGGGGACGTCCGAGTTTGGGAAGATGCCAAAATCAGCTTATTTGTCATTGTTCCGGTATACAGTGAAACAATCTACGGGCCTTGGAGCCCGTATTAGGTCGAACCATCTCAACCCGTCCATGTGCTTATGCAATAGCCATTTCAGGCATTTGCCAAAAAGCAATTAGGAAGCCACCAGCCAAATGTTAAAAGCCAAAATGCCATCTTAGCTCCTGCCTCCCCAGGCCGTCTCCTGTTGTTTATCGCTGCCAACCACGACGGGCAGTTGGA